ATTTTATTATTTATAATTATTTTTTTAATATTTTTGCATTTTAAAAAAGTAAATCAGAGCTGAATGAATACAAAAACCCAGACAAATATGTCTGTGTTAGCCTACAATCTAAGAGATAATATTATACAAATAAATTTTGATAGGATCTATGAACAGAAGACTTACATAGTAGAAACTCTAAGTTAGTAAAATAATATATCTTTCGATAGTTATACTAGTTAATACTTAATCTGACAAGAAATACTACTGTTACAAATAGCGTAGCCTTCTTAGTATATTATAAGTAACAGCAATATAGCTATCTATTTACTTTAAGAAGCGGTGTCTAAGAGAGAAGTTCCTTTAATAATTGATAAAGACAAGTTCTACTCTATAATAGGTAGTTTGTTTATATTTATTTGATAAAAGATATATTATTAATTATAAATATTTATAGTTAGGTACAAGAGGGGAGAGGAGTTAAGGTCTAAACAACTGTTAGGTAAAAAAGGGAATTACTACTGATATTTATATTTTAAAGATAAATGGTACTTAAGTGTCAGATAGATTCTCAAGTATCAGATAAATGATACATAAGTAGTATATAAGTAGCAGTTAAGTAGCATATAAGCGGCAATATATAAATAGTACTTAAGTATCATATAAACAGTATATAAGTAGCAACTAAGTAGCATATAAGCAGCAACTAAGTGGCATATAAGTGGCAACTAAGTGATAACTAATTACTATAGGACTATTACTATTTTTCTCTAAATAATAAAATTATTACATCAACGAAATCTATTACTAAATCTATTCTATAACATTTTCTCTCTCTTAAGAAAATTTGTTCTACAAATTTGTAATACTTAAAGAACAAAGTAATATAGAAAATTCTGATTCCTTTAACTTTAGTATTTTCGTTATACTAACAGTTTTATTTTGATATAAGCGATTTTTATCACAAGTAGTAAAAAGTTTCTTTTGTCTCTATACACTAGTCCACAAATCTCTTGTTCGATGTTCTCTAAGTTTTTGCTCTAATCAGTTTTTAATTTAGTCATGATAGTTGGTATTTTCTTCTAAAAGTTTTTTTAGATAGTAATAGGTTTCCAGAATTCCTATATGTCCTTTCTTTGATTTCTAACTTTCTTGTAACCGTTTAATTATCTTTTGAATTGGTCTTTTCAGTCTAGAGCAAGAAATAGATTTGGATGACTTTCTATAAGCTTTAATGGTTGAGTTAAGTTATTAATAAATTCTTGAATATTTTCTGATAAGATTTCTTTGTTAGCAGGAGGTTCAAATTCTTAATAGATTATTTCTGATTCTGCTAGGATTCCATTTAGGGTATTCAATTCCAAGTCTATATATTCCTCAAACAATTTGTTATCCATATCATTTAGAGGGTTCTCATAATTAGTCTCTTCTAACTCAGTAGTAATATCTGTAATCTGTTCTGGTTTCTGGGAGTTATATTTTGGGATGCAATACATAAAGTCTGTTGTACAAGAGGGTCCTGTTTCCAAATTTGTAAAAATTCTTATATATTTTTTTTTTTTTTTTTTTTTTTTTTTTACTATTTTTATATATATATATATATATATATATTTTTTTTTTTTAAAAAAAAATAAAACTTATTTTTCTTATTGCTTTTTTGTTTAACTTTACTGTTTTATATATATATTATATTTTTCTAAAACTTTTTTTTTTATCAATCTTTAGAAACTAATTTAGTATATACTTTTTTTATTTATATACTTTTAAAATATTTTTAGTTATTAACAATAAGCTTAAACTTTAATATAAAAAAAAATATTAAAAAATTATACTACGTATAACCAACTAATATTATATAACTATTAATTTTAAACTAATTTATTTGTTTAATTCAAAAATTTAAAATTATTAATAAAAAATATTAACGTATTTACTATTTTGATACTACAATTGTTTTAATTTATCTAAAATATATTATAACTCTATTAAAATTAATATATCAAATAAATTTAAATTTTTATAAATTTTACAATCAAAAATCCATATTTTTACAGATCTAAAAAAATATATTCATATTGATATTTTTTTTTTTTACAATACCAGGTCTCTAATGCAAGGCAGTATAACACGCGATTTCAGATATTTAAATAAATAACTCACATGGTACACCACGTGATCAAGACACATGGATGAGTAAATTTTTATATTAGATTAATATTATATGTGCACGCGATTCGTAGCACGATAACGTCTGAAAATTTATATTATATATCAATTTTAGTAAACACAATTCCTCGCTCGTCTCTCCATTTATCCACCATCTCCTGTGCAAAGACTAATGTTTTTTTAAGATCAGTACAAATATTTAAATCTAGCTTTCCCAACTGGTTTAACTGTTTTTTTGATTCTTCAAAAGTTTGGTGAATCTTAGTAAACTGTTCTGTAGAAGTTTTATACGATTTCTTCGTCGTTTCTACGGAACTAAAAGTATAAAAATATTGTTGTTAATAGGGAATTCTACCATAACAAATCCTTATAAACTTACTTCATATATGCGTCAAAGGCTGCCCCAGTACTCTTAGAATCTAGAATCGATGTTTCATTTATGTAAGCCTTTAAAAGTTCACTCTCAGCCTGACGGCAACGATTTATCTCAAGCTGGTAACGATTAAGTAGGATCACTGCTTTTACAAACTTGACCAGACTGGCCAAAGGAGTCTCGTTTCCTTGTTTTTCAATTGTGACTCGGATAAAGTCAAATAATTTTTCTAGGTTAAGGTATTTACAATTGTAAGAATAACCATTCTTATCAGCTTCATGCTGATGAAAAACAGCTTCGGTGTAACGTAGAAAGGACTCCAGATAATCAGATACCCTTTCCAATGGCGATCGTTTTTCTGTGTCTTTTTCAGCTCTATGTTTGTATTCGCGACCTATAGCGCTTTTACGTTCAAATAGGGTATGATGAAATAGAGCCATATCTGATCGGTCATCATCAGTATCTGTTGGGTCTGTCTGAACTTGGACTGATCTAGTACAAACTTGGACTGATCTAGTATAAAAAGAGCTATCTGTTTGATTACCGACGGTTTGAACAGTTATTACAGGGGATTGATGTTCAATAGCTGTTTGCCCAATAGTTTGCAGTCTAAAGGTCTCATCAAATTCTACTACATCGGCTGGACGAGAGTCTGATGCGGATGCACTTTTGATCAATTTCCGTTTCGGGGCACGAGAAACATCCTGATACTCACGAACTTTTGTCATCTTCATTTCTTTTGTTGACCCGTTTTCCAAGGGTTTCACTCCTTTGATTCCGTAATCAGGCGCATTAGAACCAACTTCTACGATCTGAGATTTTATACCCTTTGAATGTCTTTGTTGTGACAACCAGGAATTTTCATTTTGTGATGAAGTTGCATCATCCTGTTTTCTTTGTGGTATTTTCAACTTAACTATTAACTGTTTAACAGGTTTTTGAGAATCATTGCTGACCGGATTATTTGTGACAGGCAATGCTGGAGGATCACCTAGAGCTCTTTCATCATCACATGTAAATTCTCGATCTGTCATAATGACATCTTTTGGATTCCGTTTATGGCCTGGAGCCTTCTGTCCACGTGGATTTTTTGTGTTTGGTAACTTTTTAGCAGGGCGTTTAGTTGCCACTTCCTTGCCTTTGCTTTCTTTGCTTTTCTTCTTCTTGACATCATCTAAGGTAGGTATTATAAAGGAAGCTTTTCTCTTTCGTGTTTCGTAAAATTTCTAAGTTTAGAAATGCAACAGTCGAATTCTTATTCAATACCGTGAATAATCAAGAAGAAATCAATGAAAGTTGTATTACCTCCAGCACGATTTTAGCGTCTTCTCTCGTAAAGTCCCTTTTTCCAGCATCCACATTTGCCCTTCCATTTGGTAGAGGATCTTTCCTGTTCATTTTATTCAGTGTACCATAAGTGTTCGAATTATCCGTATTAAATTTCATAGTTTTCAGCGTGCTAAACCATCAGAAAACCACCATAATTAATCATCACATGATGATGAAAAATTTATGAAGGATCACTATCGTGGTGTTATTCACCTCACATACTTTCCTATATGCTCTGCTTCCTCGGTTGGTCTGTTAAAACCAAAACTATCATAACCCGGATTTTGTTTTGAAAGCCTTTTAATGTAGGAGAAAAAAAATGTATTCTATTAAGTACTCATACTACATATAATTCAATAAATAATCAGTGTCACAATAAAACATCTCGATATTAATGTTATTGATTAGAAATATCGATCTTGTTACTTACTCTTCAAGAAAATCAAGATAGCCAATTTTATTTTTTGAAGAGTTCGAGGATGCAGTACCATTAGGGGGCCTATCTGAACCGACCGGAGCTTGTCGATTAGGTGCAACTTGTGTAGCGTTTTTTTGTTGCGCTGAAAGAGGCGGAACATACTGTCGCTGTTTTGGTGTCGGTGGCGGCGCTCTTACCAAGAAACTACACCATTCGTCAAAGGGAATTTCGCAATTGCCTAGCGGCATTGGCCCTCTTGGCTGAATATGAGGACCATTTGGAAAACTATTTCGGAACTCCTCGATTGCGGGCTGAATTTTTTGCTCGAATTTAGTATAGAACTCTAACTCCTCCTTCTTCTTTAGCTCTTTTTGATCGTCAGGACTAGCCATGCTTCAAAGATCGTTATTACCTTATTAACCACGTAACTTCAAAATTATCAAAAACGTAAAGAATAGTGTTTTAAATTGTGGGTAAGGACTAACGAATCTAATAATTATAACATATGTTAACGTAGATTTTCTTTGAAGTTTGAATTTATATATTCGAAGTGACACTGTACAACCGCATGACCTAACTGTTAAAATCGAAGAGAATAACTTAACATTGACAAGCCACGGGTCGGAGTTTGAGCGTTTGCAGATATAATTATGTGTCTCATGCACAAAAGTTTATTTCTTTCATCATATTAGCCGATTATTCATATTTTTGACACAGTGAACAAAACTTAAATAATGCAGTATTCAAATGTAATATCAATATTGAATAATTAACGTTAAGTGAAATCTGTTAGAATTAATTTTTTTTTTTTTTTTAGGTACGGTCAAATTTGATACATGCAATATCAATATTTCACAAATCATATAGAAATCATTTTGCGAGAATAAATTTATTTTCTCAAAGTCGTAAAAATTTTTTTCTCTACCGCATGCATTCAACCACAACGAACCTGCCAAATAAGGTTCAATTTCTGTTGGAACAAGTTGGAAGTGAAAGACGTAATCATGCATATATACAACTTTTTTTTTTTTTTTTTTTAATATGAATGAATATTTTGATCCTAAATTGTTTGTAGAATCGGATGAGACAGATCTGGAGTCAGCTATAACAGAGATCCAACAAATCAGTGGATCGGCTTATGGGTTTGTAGTCACGGACTAACAAATTCTTAAATTTTTATTTGATCAAAGTAATCTCAACATTTTTTAGTGGAAATTACAAACTAAGATGGATACAGCAACCTCGTTCGGTTTTTGTTGTCAAAAAATCATTGAGCGAAGCAACGGAACAAGCGTTCGTTGAATTGATAAAGTACGAAACAAATTAGTCAGGCAACAACATTGGTTACTCTTTCATAAACTATATATATATTAAGTTTTTAGTTTCCTAAAGTTAGTTGGCTACACGATAAATATCCTCAAATCAATATTATTATCGAACAAGAAATTGCTAAAGAATTTCAAAATAGACTACCATTTGTATACATGATACCCGAAGGTACCTTAAATGTTATCTTTACGAAAAGATCATTTGTTAACTTTGACTTCTCGACACGCATTATAGGGCAAAAAGATGAATATACACGAGTGGTAGATTTCGTTGTCACTCTAGGAGGTGATGGTACTATATTGCATGTGTCTTCACATTTCGATTATTCCGTCCCACCCATTATCTCATTCTCGATGGGAACGCTTGGTTTTTTATTACCATTTCGTATCCAAATTTTGTTTAATTCATTAAGTAAAGTTTTAAATATTCCTTGACCATCACACTCAATCTTATTGATAGATATTAGACAATATCAATCAGCATTGGAATCTTTGATTAAAGGTGACGTCTCTTTGTTACTACGAATGAGACTGGCATGTTCAATGTGGAACGCAGAAAGGAAAAAAATTGTGTGGAAAGATAAAGAAATTGGTATGTTCATTTCAACTGACACGTGAAAGGGATGATTGTTTATACATCAAATCTATTGAATTGTTAGGACATTTGCAAGCCATGAATGAAGTAAACCTACACAGAGGACGGTTTCCGCATTTGACAGCAATTAATTGCTTTGTTGATGAACAATTCCTAACCAATGCAGTGGTATTTCTCGAGATACTTTTATTGCTTTGTTTTTTTACTTTAAAAATAGCTAATCGCGTGCAATCTCTTAAATCTCCTATCAGGCGGATGGCTTGATTGCTGCTACACCTACTGGCTCAACAGCATATTCATTATCAGCTGGTACGTTTTTACAAAAATATTCAGTGATATCTATCCGTTAACGAATAGTGTTAAGCATTTGCTACAATCTAAGGCTTAAATTAAGTTAGAATTTGTAATGTATACGAATATCCAGTATGATTCTTATTGCTAAATATTTTATCGAAAAAATTACGAGCGGATTTTGAATGTTTTCATAGTATAGCTCTAGAAGATTTTATGTCAAAATCTTCTTAATGTCATCATTTATGTGAATACCATGATAAAAAAACTTTACACTGTAGGTGGTCCAATAATACATCCATGTGTTCAAAGTATTCTTTTAACACCTATATGCCCACGATCATTGTCATTCCGGCCAATTTCATTACCGCCAGCCGCAAAAATCAAAATGAAGGTACTTATTTAAGTGTCAATCAAATTTTCTGACCAATGCTGACAATACATGTTCATAAAAAGATCAGTGAAGAAAGTCGCGCACCGCTAGAAGTAGCAGTTGATGGTAGGGTAATATGTATGCTGGATAAAGGCGATTTTTTAGAGGTAAGTGCATATCTAAATATGAAAATTGCGTGTTTTTTGATATCAGATTTATTTATTTATTTATAGATCTATTTATTTGTTTATTAAATTATTTGTTAAATAGGTAGAAATGTCACCATATCCAATTCCATGTGTTAACCGTGTTGGTGAAGGCGTGGATTGGGTTAAAGATATTAATGAGCTGTTAAAGTGGAATCAGAATTTTGTGAATAAACAGTTACTTACTCATTGGTGGTGAAATATAATCTGTATATGATCTTATTATCTCCATATCGCTTTTTGAAGTTCACATAGATGAATAAATTCTTTAACTGAATGAATTATATATAATAAATATTCTAGACCGCTGATAGTATTAAATTTGGTGGCTTGTAGCGAAATATTAGCATACGTAGTATATCTAGGCTTATATGTTAATTACTGCCGTTTCTTATACTTTCTTTATTAAGATAACCTAATTTGTGGTATTATCATAAATAAAATTTTAGGATTCATTAGAATAGAAGAATACTAAACTGCAGGATTTACGTTTAGATACAGTATCCTTGGAATTAATTTAAAAAATTTATAAATTTTTACTATTAGCTTAATTTTGATAAAAAATTCAACTAGGAGTTAAATAAATTTTTTCTATTTTTTATTATACGTATAATAAGAAATACTTACATTATATTTACATACAGTACACGAGTAGGTTTTTGTCTTAAAAATAACTTTATACGTAACAGGTAATATAAATTTTTTTTTTTTTTTTTTGGTACGTAGAACTCAAAAGATAGGCTTTTTGCATACGTACATATCAGATGCAGTATGTTTTTATTATTAATTTAAAAATATATACATATTAGTTTTAATAGTACGTATAATTCACATATTTTGCATATTGATGCAGAATTAGCATAATTTATATAGAATAAAAAAGCATTTAGAGAAATCTAATACTTTATATAATAAATAAGCACTAAATATTATTAAAAAACAAAATTTTTAGTATTATCAGAAATTTTTTTGCCTGATTTATAAGCAGTATCTAAGGAATTTTTTTTTTTTTTTTTTTCTTAAGTGATCTTGCTTTTTATTTATTAAGAGAAAACATAAAAAATGTTATAGCAAAAATAAAAACTAGGCTAAACTAATTCTATAACTGTCTTCTTTATTTAACTCTGAACTTACTTAGCTGCTTAAAGTGTCTAAGTGTGATCTGTTGCAATAATAAATTTTTCTACTAAAAGAGTAGTTTGCTTATACAAGAGCATATTCTAATTATCAACAGAAGGTTATTATTAGTGTTGGTAGCAATAGATGAATAGAACAATAGAACAATAGAATTAAACAATAGAATTTAGAATAGAATAAAATTTTTGTCAATAGAACAAAAAATTGCCAACAAGATTATAATTAGTTATTAAT